AATAGATAATAACCCATAACAACAGAATCTCTTTGGGATCCTCAATTTCTCTGCATACAAAAGGGTTAAATATTTGAGAACTCAGTACTCAAATATTTGGGAACTACTGTTCTACAGTCCCCTCACTCAGTGCTCTTACTTTGGAATTCACTCTGTTGAAGCTTACTCAGATATTTAACTGGTGGTCTATGGAAGTTGTACTTTTCATAATTTTTGGATGTACGTAAAAAAGCTTTTGCGGTCGACTAGAACCAGAGGATACCCTGTGGGAATCAGGGTGTATCTGTGCACTGTACCTGCATTATGTACTATGTCAATGCAAAATGGTAATATTATTTAAAATTCTGTTATACTAGGCAAGTTGGTATTAGATTCTGTAACTGATTCCTCATTCAGCAAGTCACAAATATTTATTTTGTTCCTACTAAGGGGCCTTAGTAGTTGTTAAAGAAATGAACTAAATCTTCACTCAGGCAAACAGCTGTTACAGTAAGATATTAACTACACCACAACTGACCACCTGCAAAAATGAATGGGTCATCATTTTTGGTTGCTACTTTTGTGGTCAAGGAGGAATTTATGGTCTTATTTAGAGGAAAAATATATTGAATAAACAGTCGAGTAAAATATGAGACAATGTGTTTAATATATTTTAGATAAGAAGTTAAATGTCTCCAGGATTCAGTATACAGAGAAAAGAGTGTGGCACGTGAATTCAGGTATTGGTGTAGGAAGTTAATTATCATTAGCATCAAAGTAGCTTCTGGTATTCTGGCAGTGTTCCTGGTTTTTTGCTTAGGTGGGACTAATAGGGACTTGTTCACTTTGTGATTATTCAGCGACCTGTGCTCTTATGATTTCTTAATTTTTCTGCCTACTTTATACTTCATTTAAAAAGTAAAGAGAAACTTTTAATTTTTCTTTTTGTTTTTTGTTTTTTTTTTTTTTTTTGAGACGGAGTCTCGCTCTGTCCCCCAGGCTGGAGTGCAGTGACCCGATCTCGGCTCACTGCAAGCTCCGCCTCCCGGGTTCACGCCATTCTCAGGCCTCAGCCTCCGGAGTAGGTGGGACTACAGGCGCCCGCCACCACGCCCGGCTAATTTTTTTTGTATTTTTAGTAGAGACGGGGTTTCACCGTGTTCGCCAGGATGGTCTTGATCTCCTGACCTCGTGATCCGCCCGCCTCGGCCTCCCAAAGTGCTGGTATTACAGGCGTGAGCCTACCGCGCCCGGCCGAAACTTTTAAATTTAAAATATCTCTGTAACCTGTTAAACTGTTTGTAGTATGTACTTAAACACGTTTGTCTAAAGACTCGTTGCTTATAGTGACTTCTTATTTTGCCTTAATTTACCAAAGCTTCTCAGTAGGTGCCTCTCACGTCCAAGGCAATGAGTCATTTGATGCTGAATCTTCGGTTGGTAAATAATATATCCTTTATCTTTCTAGTAATGTATTATTATAATGTTTTAATAAAAACAACATGAGTCATTTGGCTTTAAAAAATGCACATTTTGAGAAGTTTTTAAATCAAAGTAATACATGCACATACTTTGGAAATCAAATGTAATGATAACATCTATAAGATGTGCACATCGCCTTCCCTACTCTACATCTTACTCCTCTGACACAGTCACTCCCCTTTCTTCTAGATCTGCCTTCTAAGTTTTGCATCCTTGTATCTAAATAATATGCTTGAACTTCTGTTTCTAGATCACTTTTAAACATTATGTATTATCTTTCTATTATGGAAGATAAGATTTTAGTGTTTCTGTACCACCTGTTTCTCTATGCTTCCCTTTCTCTAATTTTTTTCATTAAATAATAAATTAATTTAGTTAATAATTACAATGATAAAGTAAATGTCATTCACAGCTGAGTCTAGTGGAAGCTTAGAATTGCATTTCTAGAATAACTTCCTTTTTTTCTAGCATGAATAATTGCCACTTCCTACCATTGCCCTAGATTTTCATGTTCCAATTTCTTATTCTTAAGCTTTAAAATAAAACTCTACAACTCTTCTTAATACTTACAAACACATAGGTAATTTACTTCGATTCAACTTTGTTTTATTCTTGGAGTCATCCTCCTGAGGCTCTCCATCCTCTTGCTACAATCCAGATTGGTTATTCTCTGGATTCCTACATAGCTGTTGTCCAGGAGTTTACCAAGAAAAGAAAAAAAAAAAAAGAAAAACATTCCAATTCTTTATTGGATTTCTTGTTTCTCATTACCGAGTCTTGCTCTTTATTTGGTAGAGTTATATATCTCAGTGAAAAAGAATGTATTATTTGATACAGATTTGGACAGTGTAATAATATTAAGTCTTTCAATCCATGAATGTGGTATATATTTCTTTCTTTCTTTTTCTTTATTTTTTTGAGACAGAGTCTCACTCTGTCGCCCAGGCTGGAGTGCAATGGTGTGATCTCCACTCAGTGCAAGCTCTGCCTCCTAGGTTCACACCATTCTCCTCAGCCTCCCTGGTAGCTGGGACTGCAGGCGCCCACCACCACACCCAGCTAATTTTTTTGTGTTTTTAATAGAGACGGGGTTTCCCTCTGTTAGGCAGGATGGTCTCGATCTCCTGACCTCATGATCTACCCACCTCGGCCTCCCAAAGTGCTGGGATTACAGGCGTGAGCTACCGCGCCCGGCCAAATGTGGTGTGTATTTCTATTAATCTCCTTTAATCTTTCTTAGTAGTGTTTTGTAGTTTTTAGTATGGCAGTCTTGCAAATCTTTTGCTAAATATCTTTCCTAAATGTTTTGTTTTTTGACATTATTATAAATAGATGCTTTAAAATTTTATTTTCCAATTGTTTGTTGCTAGTATATAAAATATAATTAATTTTTGTTCATCAGCTTCTATCTCTGACTTTGCTAAATTCACTCATAAGTTGTGTAGTAAATTTCATTAGATTTTCTACTTAGAAAATAATGTCATCTGTAAATAGACAGTTTTACCTCTTCCTTTTTGATATCCATGTATTTTATTTTTTTTTCTTATCTTCTCAAACTGTATATGAGATTTGCTTCTATTTGCACTTTATATAAATAAGAAATAAAGCATATACGTTTTGTATTTGCTTCTGTTACTCAACCACATATTTGCGATATTCTGTACATTGTCATGATTAAGTGTAGATTATTCCTTTTCAGTATTGTGTAGTATTCCAGCATGTAACTATGCTAAAGTTGACATATCTGTTCTATTGTTAATGGATGTGTGCATTTTCAGTTTATAAGGTTACTAAAGTGCTACTATGAACATTCTGGTACATGCCTTTTGGTGAACATATACTTATATTTCTGTTCACTTTAGACCTCAGACTGGAATTGCTGGTTCATAGAGTATGGAATATGTGAGTCTCCTGTTTTCTTTGACTTTATAAGTATTTGCCAGTGTTACCTCTATACTACATCTTTAACAGTTTCTGGGGAGAGAAGAGATAAATTCATGTGTTTAATTTTCATATTAAGGACAGAAGTCACTCATATCCTTCTTTTTCAATTATTTGTTCCATGAATTCGTTCTTTTCATTGAACTTCTTTGATCTGTTCATCAGGACTTGAGTCAGAGAACACACGTGGGCTTTCCGCCTTGATTACTTGGCACATGGCTTCCATTGCTTAGTGGCCCCTTCCTATCTACTCCGTTGCCCCTTCTTACAGGTGTTCTCACAGGTCCTGCCATAGGCTCCCAAAACTTGTATACCTGGAATGTCTCCTAGTCTAGTCTACCTTCTTCTAGTCTGTGCCTTTAGGTGTTTATTCAGAGAGAACTTTTTCTATTAAAAGACTGCCCAGCGGCAGCCAGACAAAAGCACATGTCTTCTTGGTAGTCGTAGGCACTTCAAAGATCCAGGCCCTTAGGAGAGAAGAAGTTTTCACTTCTATTTTCCCCAATGGAAAAATTTCTGGGGGTTGAACTGCATCCTCTATGTTTGCATATAGTCGATCCTGTGCAAAGGGAAGACTAGGGTGAAATATCACTCAAATAATTTCTCATCTTGATAGTAGTACAGTAGTAGAAGAATATCAGGGGAAATCCTTACTAAAGTTAACATTTCAGGGACCAGAAGAGTTCACTTACCCCTATGACATCTATCAACTATTTTAAAGAACAATTGAAAAGCCGTCCAAAATGCAGGCATCTATCACTTTACAAAAGTATTCTTAAAATTTTGGTGAATATTGGATATATTTTAAGTGAAACAAGAATTATAAGGGATCTAAAAATGGATCCCATTGTTAAATAAGGTGTACTAAAATAAATAATCTGATTTTTAAATCTACATTTTTATATTACCTACACACTGAAAAAGTGATAAGCAGACTGTTTATTTAGACTTTGAAGTAAGGAAATCTAAAATTTGATTCCAAAAGACTACTCTACTATACACCAGCTGAGGACTCAGTGTATTAGCCTTTTTGGACCTCAGTTTCTTCATCTATAAAATGGGCATAGTGAAATCACCCATGGAATTGTTGTCAGGCTCAAATGAGTACAGATGCAATGCCCAGCATGGTGCCTGTTATGTAGCAAGCATGCAAATGATTTTCTATTGTTATTTTTAAAATAGTAAGGAGTTATGTTTTGTTTGCTTCTTAATATTATTGGTGTGGAAAGCAACAAAAGAAATAAAAATAATTAAAATTATATAAGCAAAGTTGATGGAGAAAAGACAACTAAAATATTACAGCCACGAAAAATGTATTTATGAGTGATGTATGTTGATGAACTAAAACAAGGCATCTACTCAGCATTTAACATTTATTTGGCTATTGTAAAATCTATGGCAAAAAAGTCTTCCATGACACTCAGTGAAAACAATGCATTCATGACCAGTTTAAATATTTATAGAAAGTATAGTGGAGGAAGTGAGCTAAACCAAGGAAGGAGTTCCTCTAGAGACCTCCAAAGAATGTTTCACGGCCATGCCAGTGTCGCCTCTACCTTGAGAACGGTCAAACTAATCATGTGCTTTTGTTTCTCCAGGGAGAAGTTGGCAGTGGCCCGACTACAGCGAGAAGTTGCCCAAAGAGCAAGTGAGGGGGCCATGGTAAGTCCTGACTGCCGTCTCCTCATTCCACAACATCCAGAGGTCTCTGGCTTGAAAGCTACTTTGCCTCATTAAGGATATCTAAGGAAAATATTTGCTTGCAGCAAACTTAATGATATTTTGGCCAAATGATGTATTTATAATACAATTTGTACAGCTCTGCCATTTGCCATCAGAGTGAGAGATATTAATTGAAAAAACAATGAGGCTTCAAATAAGATGTTCACATGTCCAAGGATTATAAGGCTTTGTTTTCTGAAGGTCAGACGTCCAGCAGTGAGCACAATGTCCACAAATGAGTAGCAGTTCAACATAATTCAGACCTCTCAGTTCTTTGGATTTAAAAAACAAACAACAGCTGTCTTGGTGTTCTGAAAAAAGAACACCAAGATGTTTGCTAATGTAATTGTCTTTATTATTTTCCTTCTCTTCACTATTTGCAATATATTTTTCCTTGTCCTTTTCAGCTTGTGCCATTTGGAAAACTGATGTTTCCTTGTGTTTTGAATTGTACTAAAAATCAATACGGTTATTTTGGTCCATAGCAACTTCATTTTACAGACTGTGTTTGCCGAAGTATCTGCCTCTGTGCCACTTATAACATCAGAGGTGACTGTCTGGGGACCTAGGGAAGGCATGTGTGGAGTAACTGCTGTTGCTACTTCTGAAACGAAAATACAACACCAGACTTATTTTTTCCCCCACTTATGGCAAAACAATGGAATGTATGCCAGTTTTCACTATAAGAATTGGATAAGTAGCGCATTTTTATACCCTGAAGGCTGCTTCCATTTGATTTCATGAGAGTTAATTGACAGGCCATCCACTGAAAAGGGTAAGACATTTGTAAAATGTGCTGGCCTTATACTTCTGTCAACAGGGAAATCAAAGGGCTAGAGTAAGAGGTCAAATGTTGAGTGGGGTCTGGAAGGCACAGTGGCCCATGAACATGCTAAAATACTTAGGAAGGTGATCACAGTGTTTATTTTGCTAGAGATCTTAATGCAGAAAGAATTTTGAATGTTCAAATGATATGAAGAAACATTCACGCTGGGTGTGGTGGCTCATGCCTGTAATCTCAGCACTTTGGGAGGCCGAGGTGGGCAGATCACCTGAGGTCAGGAGTTCGAGACCAGCCTGGCCAACATCGTGATACACTGTCTCTACTAAAAATACAAAAATTAACTGGGCGTGGTGGTGGGCACCTATAATCCCAGCTACTCAGGAAGCTGAGTCATGAGAATTGTTTGAACCTGGGAGGTGGAGGTTGCAACGAGTGAGATTGTGCCATTGCACTCCAAAGACCCTGTCTCCAAAAATAAAAAAATAAATAAATAAGAAAACATTCACCTGCATCTTTGAGTAATGAAATGGAAACAAGATGGAGAAAATAAAGGCCTAGTTGGATGGTGGACTGAGCATTTCCAATCTGAACTTCTCACTGCATTTCAAAATGTTGGTGTGCTAGGTCATTCTGTAATGTTTCAGTCTTTTGTTTAGGACTAGCTCCTGCTCACCGCTTCGTCAGTGATGTTCTAGTTGAATATGAGGAAGTAATTTAACTTTCGTAGGTCAGTTTCCTCATCTTTGAAATGGGGAGGTGGGAATTTTGTGATTCCTTTAACTTAGTGGATCATGATTTTGAGCATTTGCCTGTGTGAAGTTTCCATGATATGAATCTCTTTCTGGTAATAACTAAATGTTATTCAAGCTCATAGGAAGAACAGGCCTTGAAAGAATGAACTTTCATTCCTTTTCATTCTTTCTCACTCTGACATTGAATGTACTTGAGTTAAAATGATCTCAGACACCTGTCTAGTCTTTTACAAAGACAAAACCCCCTTTTTAAAACATTATAGAAGTTCAGTATAGAAAATACGCAGAAAACGTGGGCACAAGGATGACCCCAGTTGCTCAAAAAATGACTTTGGAAAAGTTATGAATGTTTCATTATTCTAATTTTAATTATGGTAATGAAAAATCACATGTTTGTATTGATTGCTTTGGCAATGTTTATAAAACACCATTTATTATGTGCCCAGCACTGTTCTAGGCACTGGAGAAACAGTGAACACAGGCAAAATCTGATAGCTTACAATCTAGTGGTTGGTGAGACAGATAATGTTAGGACATAGAAGCAGCTATGAGAAAATAAAAGAGCAGGGTAGGGGAGATTGGTAGTTTTAGAGGTTCACCATTTAAAATAGAACATGAACAGTATTGGGAGGCCATTGGGGGAGGATCATTTGAGCTCAGGAGTTCGAGCCCAGCCTGGGCAACATAGTAAAACCCTGCTCTACAGAAATATAAAAAAGTAGCCATGTGTGGTGGTGCATGCCTGTGATCCCATCTACTTGGGAGGCTGATGCAAGAGGATCATTTGAACCCAAGAGACAGAGGTTGCAGTGAGCCATGATCATACTACTGTATTCTAGCCTGGGCGACAGAGCAAAACCCTGTCTCTAAATAAATAAATAAATAAATTAGAACATGCATAGTAGAAAATCACTGAAAAGTTAATATCTGAGCAAAACCTGAAGGAGGTGAAGGAGTTTTTACCATGAAGATGTCTGGGGGAGGGGCATTATAGCAGGGATATCAGCAAATGCAAAGGCCTGGAGTGCCAGGGGAACTGCATGCTGGCAGGGCTGGCCTGAAAGGAGTGAGAGGAGAAGGTGAGGAGTAAAAGAGAAAGCAAAAAGTGATGGGGGTGGGGGGTAGGGAGAGTAGAGGGAATGGGTGCACCCTCAAGGTCTCAATGGATCCCTGACTCATGCTTTGAGAGATGGGAACCATTGGAAGGCTTCTAACAAGGTCTAAGTATTAAGTGATTGAACTTAGTACTATTCATATTCTTACCATCTCCCTTCCCATTCCATGATTTGTCACATTTCAATTCCTTGGAGATACCATAAGCCCTGACTTTCATTAATTTCTTTATTTTAGTTTTTCTCCTACTTTCTCAGTGACTTTTTCTCCCTGTTCCTTTTACATAGTCAAACTCCTCTGAGTTTTCTATTTAATTATATGCTTCAGCTTTTCCGCTCCTAGAATTCATTTATTTCTGAAGTCCTGATTCTTTCAGTATCTGACAGCTCCTAAAAAATCAGGCTATTCTATTAATCCTTTAAATTTAATTATTGCTGTTAAAAGGTTTGTTTCACATAACTTTTGTTACGTCTATAGCAGAAATGGAAAATAGTTAATCACAATAGATCACCATATGTATTTAGAGACTACTGTTTATAGTTTTTTAAATATTTTTATTTACATGAAAGGAAAAATGGTATAGAACAAATTATATAAGCAATCTTTACAGAAAAGCTATGTAATGAAATTGAGGCTGATATTTATTTTTAAAGTCATCAATAAACCTGTTATAATCAAAATCTTCAATACAAACCATGCCCTCTTTAAAATTTGGTTTTATGCAATAAATCTCTACACTCACAAGTTTTAAGATAGTCCCAAGGCAGCATTTTGAGAGATTTATTTTACATTATATTATATTATATTATATTATTTATTTTTGAGATGGAGTTTTGCTCTTGTCGCTGAGGCTATGTAGTGCAGTGGCATGGTCTTGGCTGACTGCAACCTCTGCCTCCTTGGTTGAAGTGATGCTCTTGCCTCAGCCTCCAAAGGAGCTGAGATTATAAGCACTCACCACCACGCCCAGCTAATTTTTGCATTTTTAGTAGAGATGGGGTTTCACCATGTTGGCCAGGCTGGTCTCGAACTCCTGACCTCAGGTAATCCCGCCTTGACCTCCCAAAGTGCTGGGATTACAGGTGTAAGCCACCACGCCTGGCTGAGATTTCTTTTATTTTTTAATAAGCTTTTAATTTTGAAATAATTTTAGATTTACAGAAAAGTTACACACCTGCCTACCCTTTACCCGGTTTCCCCTAATGTTAAACATCTTACATAATTATGGTGTAATTGTCAAAACTAAGAGATTAGCATTGGTATACTACTATTAATTAAACTTGAGATTTTATTAGAGCAGTTTTTCTAGCAATGCTCCTTTTCTGATCTAGGATCCAGTACAGGGTACCACACTGCATTTTCTTCTAAAAAGAAGATGACTTTTTAGTCATCTAATTGAGTACATATGTAGAAGTAATGCGAGCTTGAAAGTGAGACCGGCCTGGATCCAAAGTCCATCCCCACTAGTAGTTACCTAAGTACTGTTAATTTGGACATGTTACTTCACTGTGTTTGTTTGTTTGTTTGTTTGTTTGTTTAATCAATTTTGCTTTTTTGTTCTGTTAACTCAGATCTTTATTTTTGGAAACTTTCTTCAGCATACTAGATGTTTTATATTTGTTGTCTTTGTTCTTAGTTTCCTCTTCCAGGAAATAAGTGCCACCACTGTTTTTCATACTTACTGTTCAGTATTTTTTACAAACTCTCTGAGATTATGTTTCTGTTCATTCTGGGAGGTTGTTTCAGCTTGTGCTGAAATATCACTGGCTTAGTTTACTGAGAGGCCTCTTCCATCCTTAACACTTCAGTGTTGTCTTAAATATTGGTATATATAAAAATGGTCCATCCTACTCCAAGAGTATGAAGGTGTTCATTCTCATTATCTCCTAGAACTTTTATAGTTTTTTTAAATGTAAATTTTGGCAAATTTCAGTTGGAATTAATTTGGCATGAAGTAGAGATCAGAGAGAAATGTTTTCCCCAATTAATAGCTGATTTTTCAACATCATTTAATGAACAGTACAGCATTTATTACTACCCTTACCACATTACAAATGCTCATATCAACCTATGTCAATTACTTGACTGCTTATACGTTTCCATTGAAAGTTCTGTTACACAAACTAGTCCTGAAAATAGAAAATGAGATCCTCAACTCACTTTTTAAAAATAATCACTTTTTATTATAGAAAAATTGCAAATATAGTCTAGAGTGTTTACGTGTATCTTGTACCCAATTTTCTCTATTATGAATACTTTACATTAGCATAGTATACTTGTCACAGCTGATG